TGTTATTCTTTTTTCATGAATAAAACATTTCCAACATAGTAAAATTGTAGATAACCAATCAGAAGATATGCAAATGGAAGAAGCAATTGTCTGCGATGTCAAAAGCTGGGTCTTTAATTTATCACGAGGAAAGGTTGTATAAAGTGTTGGGAAGTTTTAATGCTATTAATTATGGCAAAATTCTGTGATGAAAGAATTTCTAAAAGTTCTTTGAAGTTTTTTTTCAATATCCATATTTGATGAACACCACTTCTAGAATACGTTGTTGCACAATACTGATGAAGTTTCTCCTTCACTGTTGTTAATATTTCTGAGAGGAATAGAGAAAGAGGATAGATGGAACATTTACTGGACCACACATATCTTCATAAGGATTTTTAAAAGGAGTTTTTGAATCCAAGTATGGTAATTGAAATTCAATTTGGTTGCTCGGAATATTGAAAGAAATTTAAAACCGACATGTATGATTTTGAAGAATCTCTAAGGAAAGTAAGAGTATAAATTGGATTACCAGTTGTAGAATTCTTCTAAAATGCAACTGTACTAAGGAGCTTTACGAAGACTCGTTGTTAGGTGGTACCAGTACATATTGATCATGTAACCTTTTTATTTGATTTATTTACTTTTGAATCACTGAGGATCGAAGGATAGATGGTTCGCATTTCAACTGCCACTTGACTGTTAAATACGAGATTTCAATATCCATTCTATACTTTTGCTGAAAAAATGTGAATATTTTCTCCTTCATATTTGACATTTACACAAAGTATTATGAAAATGATTTTTTAACTTGTGCTCTGTTTTAAATATTGAAGATAAGTATTTCTGCCCAAATAGATGGAATTACTGAAATTCACTTTTTATTTGCGAGATCTTTATTACCGCCTATAATTTCGGAAGATCGCCTGTTCGCAAAATTTTCATTTTTATATTTGTATTCTTAAAGATTATATACAGTAATAACCAAAATTCGTGAAAACTGTACTTCCAACACCAGATAACTTCAATGCAAAAATAAAATGGTCTCAAAATTTTAGTGATCTATAGTAACTTATTTTACAATGTATATCAAAACCTGAAAAAAAAAAGTGTTTTGAAAATTTAGAAAACAATGTCGTAAAAAGATATTTATTTTGTTCAACCTAACTATAATATTGCATAGTCAGTAAAGTGGAATTGGGAATTTTGGTTGAAACTGGTTCAGTGGTTTTGGAAATTTTGACAATGTACAAAGTTTACAGACGACGGGTGAAAGACTGGGGGCCGGACACGACCGGAAAAGCTAGAGCTCAAAACCAAAAAAATCTTCAATGCACAGTGTTACGTGAAATAAGAAAGACAAAGATTGCAGATCATATGATAATCTTGTTTTAGAAGTCTCTGTAGCGTCCACTGATATTATGAAAACAGATTTTATTGTTTTCACATGACCTCTCCTTCACAAAAAACAGCCAAATAACTACTTATTTTGCCTAGAATTTAATGTGTATAAGACATGGTGTAGCATGTCCAAATGCAGCAAAATCTTTTCAAATTTTTAAAATACTGAACAAATTAATCTACTGGAAGCCACAGACTTCTGATTTACAAGATTTCCTATATATATATATGTAAGACTCCAAAGTCCGATGGTCTGCGCCAAACCCCGATGGTATGATGTCTGTACGGACGCCAAAGTCCGAAAGTTTTGTTAAGGCTTCCCGAAGCAATGTTAAGGCTTCCCGAAGCTTTAAATGCGTTCAAAACATAACACTGCATTGCAAGGTCGATTTTTATTTTTATTTGTAAGTTATGTACTTAAGTTCTATTTATATAGAGAGTTCTCTAGCCTATATATAAACGTATTTATTACGATATCAAATGACCTCGTTGATCACGTGACGGTCATTTCTACTTTTTTGAAGAGTTTCACATAAATCGCTTCGGCGAAGCTGATTAACACAATTGTTATTAACTTTTTGTCAAATAAATAAACTCGTCACATCCTTGTGAACCCGAAATGTGCTTGGGAAAATATTTCACAAAAAATTCAACTTACCGACAAATTTGAGGGTATTTTCAACTCAATATTGTCATCTGTATTAAAACAAAGCCATCACACATTTTTCCCAAGCAAGATTCAGTTAGAGGGGAAACTCCTCTTACAGATTTTCACAAAAGATCTCAAATAAATCCTTATTAATCACCTGCGCCAGGCTTTTTATACACATATTACGCAGGGGTAATAAGGAAGCATACAAAATATTCTACCTTGACTTAATCAGTGCTACATTATGACGTCATAGTAGGCGAGATGACGTCAATTTTAGAATACAAGTTTTCGTAATATTCGTATTTAGAGATGTAATTTAACTCTAGAAAATGAATAGAAACGTGTAAACATTAACAAAAATAAAATGTTTTTATTTTGTTATGCTGTATCTGTCATTTTGATTAAAATCTACCACCGATGACGTCATATATGTACTTTAAGTAACTTGGGAATTGATCATGTCGTGTAAAGAGAATTTGGCTACGACGGCATGTACAAAGATACGTAAAATGGAGTTTAAAAGCAAACATTCTGAATATTTTGTGAAATTCATATGGAGTTCAGTTACTAAAGCAGGTATGCTAATTTATTTTCATCGATTGTATTCTATTCGAAGACAGTCAGCTATATACGTATCCCGGTCGGCCTTTCCTCTGTCATTTGTGACAAAAATAATGCAGCAGAACAACAATAAGCTGTATATTTCAAAACATAAGATTTGTACAGATGGAAAGTTTCCCTCCTAAAATACTTGGAAAGTGCTGCTAGAATCCCGAGTTAAGCATGGTTTTACGAAAAATCTCGGTTTATATGTATAAAATTCAAAACATCGGGTAAGGTTTCGTGCGAATGTGTGGAATTATTATTTGACTGACGGGACAGTGGGATTCTAGCAGCACTTTTTAGGCAAAATAGATGTTTTCCAACTATATTATTTACTCAAAGAAATTATTACACTTCGGGGTATTGTTGTTCTGTTAGCTTTTTTACTAAGGAACATTTTGCTATTAATAGAAGTCACGTGATGCCGTGGTGGTGGTGCACGTCTTTGCATTAGACACTCTTTTATCTTTATGCAATAGATAATAATAGTTTACATTTATCAGCGGTTTTGGTAAATTATCAAACTTAATTTTTTTTAAAAAGTCTAAATTTCCAGAGAATTGACTTATATGCTTCCTTAACATACCCGCGTATAAATTCAACTTCTATGCACAGGTATAAAAAGGGTAAATGTCAAACGTATAATTTCGTATATGTTTTGAACACGCTGACTTTTAAACAAGATTAATAAAGCAAAGCTATCTAAAATATTCGGGTATATAAGATTTAAAAAAAAAAATGATTAAAACACGTTTATTTTACACTACCTTTCTGACACTTTATATGCCGATTGAAATAAGGTGTAAAGTTTTTGACACTTTCCCCATCATAACAATTCATGTTTGCCGTGACTTGACGTCATTTTCAATTATGACGTCATACATTTGTAGTTTAGAGATGTGAAGGCACAGAGTAAACTGCGATATTCTCTGGGAAGCCTTAACGTACCTTCGCGATGGTTCGTTTCCTATGAGACGCACTGCGCTAAAGTGCGATGGTGTGATACGCCAAAGTCTGATGGTGCGTAGAAACAATCAACGTTTATGACTTCACAATATTCCGACGTCAATCCTTGACGCCGTTGTCCTGCATTCAAATGCTATCAATTCAATATTCGTCCTCGCATACAATTTTACTGATTTTGCTTATTGCTTGCACCCACCAGAGTTAGTCCTCAAACACCACTCTACTGATCAGGGTTAGTCCTTGCACACTACGGGACTGATTATGGGATAGCTCTGCACCAACCTGAGATACTTAGGGTTAGTCCGACTGATTAGGGTTAGTCTCGAACCCACCCAACATATCTAGTTTATAGTTCTTACACACTTTTTTGACCGAGAAGGGTTAGTTTCGCACCTATCCAAGAGATTAGGGTTAGTCCTATTATATCCTATAATATTTATTTTTGTATTTATTTAAGACCTTGGCATGGCGCGGCATCGCAATTCGGCGCGTAGTACTATGACGTCACAAATGTAAATTGTGTTGGCGCCATCGGACTTTGGCGTGTCAAACCAACGGGGTTTGTCGCAGACCATCGGACTTTGGCGTGACCATCGGTCACGTTGGTCCGATGGTCTGCGCCAAACCCCGATGGTTTGACACGCCAAAGTCCGATGGTGCGGAAAAACGATTGACGTTTGTGACGTCATAGTACTACTGCGCCAAACTGCAATGCCGCGCCATGCTAAGGTCTTAAATAAGTATAAATAAATATCATTATGCGAAAACTAACCCTAATCTCTCGGATAGGTGCGAAGCTAACCCTAATCGCTCGAAAAGTGTGTAACAACTATAACCTAGATATCTTGGGTGGGTGCGAGACTAACCCTATTCACTCGACTAGTGTGCGAGGACAAACCCTAAATCTCTCGGGTTAGTGCGAAGCAAGGCCTAACCCTAATCAGTCGAGTGGTGTGCGAGGATTAATCCTAATATCTCTGGTGGGTGCAAGCAATAAGCAAAATCAGTAAAATTGTATGCGAGGATGAATACTGAACTGATGGCTTTTGAATGCAGGACAACGGCGTCAAGGATTGACGTCGGAATATTGTGACGTCATAAAAGTTGATTGTTTCTTGGCACCATCGGAGTTTGGCGTGTCAGACCATCGCACTTTAGCGCAGTGCGTCTCATAGGAAACGAGCCATCGGACTTTGGCGTGACCATCGGACTTTGGCGTTCGTATCGACATCAAACCATCGGGGTTTGTATCGAGCAGACCATAGGGGTTTGGCGAGACCATCGGACTTTGGCGTCACCTCGGACTTTGGAGTCCTACATATATATATATATATATATATATATATATATATATATATATATATATATATATATATATATATATAGTTTTGATTGCTAGTTGAACTGCTGTCAAATCTTTGTGATATTTAATCCATTATCAACAATAACTTTGATCTCCGATTCTTTTGTAGGATCTTCATCGAAACTGTCGTTTGTGGCCGATCTCAGACTAGACCTACAGAGTCTGTCAATAACAACAGCCCCAATAATGATGGTCAAGGTGTTGCTAGTAGTTCGGACACGGTCACTGAAATATATTTTGTTTTCTTTTTATTTATAGCACTTTGTTACTCAATACATTTTTATGAAATATATCAGAACAAAAGACATATTACACAAATAAAAAAAAGGACATAGATAAAATCTAGATTATGATTATTTCAAATGACAGATTTAATTAAATGACAAATTCTTACTTGAACCACTCCAAAGCCATCAGAAGACCTATATTGTGCACTTCAACATCTACGGAAGACAGGACGACCAAAAGGGAAACAATGCTGGCACTAGGGACAGATGGAACTGCCAGAGAGCCCACAGTTGACAGCAGACTGGAAAAATAATGCATGGTCTAATGTTTAATCTATAACTGATGAATATTCTGAATCGACCAGAATAATGTTACAGTATTGTAGGTAAACGTTTGAATTGAGTTATACAAAGGCCTGTATATGATATAAAGAAAAGGAATAATTGAAAATGTCTTATATTTTTAAAAATATTTACCCAATTAACAGAATCTTAGATGCATCGATTGAGATTCCTTCCAATTGTACCATAAACAGGGCAGATAAACAGATGAATATACAACTTCCCATTCGCTCCAAAGTAGCTCCTACAGGAACAAGGAAATTGGATATCCTAGTGTCGACATGTAGGTTAACATCAAGTGTTCTAAGCATTTCCGGTATTCCGATAGCCCTAAAAAGTAAATTACTTAGGATGTATTATAATGATTCGCCTCAATAAAAATATACATGTAACTTTAATTAACGTTTGTTTTTCTTCAAGTGAAATGTCACTTGCAATTTATAAAACGAGGCAAAAAATTGAAAAACAAGTTGATGAAACAAGGATATCAACAGTCTCGTTTAAAGTCATCATTTCGCAAGTTCTATGGTCGATACAATGACCTTGTCAGCAAATAAAATATATCATTAAGTTGAATGCTGACTTACGTTTTTCATACTAATTCAGGCCATTATTTAAACACTGAATTATCTAACGATTTTCCCGTTTACTTGATCATGACAATTAGCACACAGCGGGTGTGCCGGTCGACAGGGGATGCTTACTCCTCCAAGCACCTGATCCCGCCTCTGATGCTTGCACTGCTTCCGATTTGTATTGTTTCAATGGACTTTTGAGCTTGATTACTGTTCGTTATCTCCATATGTCAATAAAGCATAGGATTAAATATGAGTAATAATTTATACGAATTAAATTATACTAAAAGTCTTTATTATATATTTGTTAAATTATACAGGATTTGTGCATCCCTGATATGTACACAGGCACGCGCCCTGTATTACACACCCAGTATCAGCACCCTTTATTTCACCCTTTATCACACCCTTTATTACACCTTTCCGGAACATCTCTGTATTTTTCATTCGGAGTACCTCGGATCTTTTTCTATTGTTTATGAAATTTATTTAAATTGTAAATTTTCATCAGATATTTTATGTTACTCAAAATAATTATTTGTTTAATTTATAATTATTTCATTTCTTATCACTGTATCCATTGCCTTTGGAAAAAATAATGAGAGAGGAAATTCAACAAAAAAGAACATATTCAATTATTTAAAATTAATTAATTTACAGGTTTATATATGATTTTTGACACTCCATATCAACCCTCGACCAATATCAGCCCGTGGCCTTCGGCCCTCGGGCTGATATAGAGTCTCGGGTTGATTTGGGATGCGATACATATTTTGCCATGGATCATTCTCTATTTAACAATTATTTATGACTTGGCAAAATACTTTTCAAGGTATAATTTATCGATAGTCGTCATCATATGAGTACCTTTATGGTAGAATTTGGCTGACAAGAAGATTAGACAGTCTTAGATTATAATATTTTGGGAACACTGTTTCGAATACGACATAAAAACTGATATTGAAATTGAAATTGTAAGATATCCACAGATATCATAGACTTTGAAGTTTACATTTTGTAAAAACGGATAATCACGAAATCAATTAAAAAAAGATTCCCCGACATTTAAAATATTTTTTTAATTCAAACACATGAGCTTCCGTGTGTCTTGTATCATCTTATGTTTGGACACCGGTTTAACTTTAGTTAAGTTGCCGGTAAAAGGCCATTTTCTTTTAGCCATATTCGATTCTTTTGATAAAACATTACCTTATTTTGAGTTTGTAAGAGAAAATTCAAAAATGCTTTATCCTAAAAAAAACTTACGTGCTGGGTGGTCCAAATACGGTTAGCCAAGGCCGAAGACTGGCACTGAAGAAATAGAGAGGGTTTCTCCTGGTTGCTAAGAAATAGGTGACTGGAATAAGGACCAACTGGTGAAATGTTAAGCCAACTACATGGGCTAGAACGAACATACCCATACTGCTGAAAATGTTTTCTATATCATACGCTTTCAAAATGGCTGTCGCTATCAGGCTTGCAACTCCAACAGGGGTCATCCTAAGTTATATAAAAATATATATTTGCAGAAAAATATTTTTCATACATGTAAGTAGGGACAGGATGCAATATATATAGCCCCATGCATATATATAATAAAATTTTATAAAGAAGTATTCGTCTTATCTACGCATATTCTTATTGTATGTTATGGTGTTTGGATCCTGCAATCAAAATTCTTAAAATATTTTGGTAGAGTATATATCTAATATCTATACACATAGCTCTATTTAAAATTAAAACGGAAAAATGGAGGGTCATTTAAATGACTTTTTCCACTGTAATTGCGTCTTACATATAAATAACGTTTTCGGAATTTTTCCTTTCAATAAATCATGGGACCAAATAGTCTTATTCTATCTGACACATTGAAAACTATAATGACGAAAAAGTTTCAAATTCATTATCAATTATGTGACCTTTTGCACTCACTAAATGTCATTTTTCTCGGAATAAAATTTAACAAGCAATAAAATTATTTAAAAATTTTAAGATATATTACTGCATTTCAGTAGAATGCTCAAAGGTTTGTTATATATATTCAGAAAAGAAAATTAAAAGTGGTGGAAAATTATGTAATTTTTTGAATATTACAAAAATACGTGATTTTTAAGCTAAATGAGGGTTTTCTTCTTTTTAGATTTTTCTAGAGGCAACCTTTTTGACAAACAAGTTGATGAAACAGGAATATCAACAGTCTCGTTTACAGAAATCACTTCGCAAGTTTTATGGTCGATACAAGCCTTGTCAGCAAATACAATCTATCATTAAGTCAAATGCTGACTGATGTTTTTCATACTAATTGTTAGGCCATTATTAACACACTGAATTGTCTACGGATTTTTTCCGTTTTTATTCCAAATCATGACAAGGAGCTCTAGCCGGGTGTGACCGGTCGGCAGGGGATGCTCACTCCTCTATGGCACCTGATCCCACCTCTGATGTTTTGGAGGTTCGTGTTTGCTCTGCTCCTGATTTGTATTGTTTGAATGGACTTTTGCAGTTTTTTTCATTTAATTTTTCGACAATAATTGTGAAATAATATCAAATGCTATTATAGACTTCGTAAAAAAGTTCTATTAAACGTTTATCTGGGCTTTATCTGTTATATTTTAAATTAAAATCGACTCAAAGATACTTACAGGAGGGTTAGAGCTCTAGTAATGTTGTGAAAAATATTACACATAAGAATCTTGTAAGAATTTTTCTGAAAACGAGTAAAATCGTAATATTTCTCTTACGATGAAAATTTATCTTAAGATTTTTTTTGTGAAAAAGGGGTACAGGATTTCCAGAACAGGAATCCAAAAAAAAAGAAATCTGCTCAAAAGCTCAGGAACGACCCCCCCCCCCCCTCTCTCTCTATATATAATGAATTATACTCTAACCAACTCTTTTTGCAATTACTAAATTTATTATTTTTCAATGTTTAAAACATTTAGAATCTCGGTATAATAAAAGAAATTTCACAGAATAAAAGTAATAACACTTACCAAATGATCCACTTTAAGAGTTTAATAACGAGGATGGATATGGTTTCGAACAATTCTATGAAAGGTTTCACCCTCTTTCCTAACTTGCTGGCAGTGATACCAAATAACAAGCTAGCAATAATAAGTCCTATATGGAATAAAAGTAGAAATTGAGAATTAATGATAGATGGATGGCTAGTTAAAAGTCATCAGATTTCTTCATTTATGTGCAAATCTTAACATCAAAAGCATTGAGTCTACTTGCAGTGACGTTTAACCTTAAACTAAAAAAATATTAATTTCTACAAACGAATTACATTTAAATTCTACATTCATTTAAAATGTAGCAATAACGTAAACATTTCAAGAGGGCTGGATGATCATGTTCACTTTTAGACTATTCAAACCTCCTAGAAAAGACGAGATCTGTATAAAAATTCAATATTACAGCTAGAACACCTGATTTATTCTTTTTTAAATAATTGTATATGGCTAGAAAATTAATACTAATTTCATAATTTTAGGGGGATCTTTTGGGAAATTTCTTGACCCGCCGCCTACTTTATTCAGCGAAGCGTAATTCGACTTTCATACTGATTTTTAAAGGGTCTTCATTAGAAATACACTTGTGGATTAGGAAACTAGAGTGACCTTTCTGTATGGTTGCACGACCACATAAATAATGTAGGGAATCTTCGAACCCCACATTGTGCCAATGTGAATGTGGTTGGACATTTTAACAATATACGTAGACGTAAGAGTCGTCATGGACATTGATCATACAATGTACCAAATATGCAAGAGTAGATTTCGAGATCGATCACTCTCTGTTATCTTCACCTTTTCAAATGGATGATAAAGTAATACTCAGTATAAAGTAATACTCAGTATAGGGCCTTTTCGTCATCAATGAAGTATGTGATGTTAAGTATAAATGGATGATAAAGTAATACTCAGTATATGGCCTTTTCGTCATCAATGAAGCATGTGATGTTAAGTATAAATGGATGATAAAGTAATACTCAGTATATGGCCTTTTCGTCATCAATGAAGCATGTGATGTTAAGTATAAATGGATGATAAAGTAATACTCAGTATATGGCCTTTTCGTCATCATTGAAGCATGTGATGTTAAGTATAAATGGATGATAAAGTAATACTCAGTATAGGGCCTTTTCGTCATCAATGAAGCATGTGATGTTAAGTATAAATGGATAATAAAGTAATACTCAGTATAGGGCCTTTTCGTCATCAATGAAGCATGTGATGTTAGGTATAAATGAATGAATTGTTTTTACCCAGTATGTTTACTCCTGATGTTGAGGAGACGGATTTTTGTACAACTGTAACCGAACTATTGGTACCGTTCACCATAATCACTTGTGAGACATGGGAATATTTTGTCTGTGTCTGAAAATAAATTAGTTATCATCTTGACTGCAACAAGTATTTAAGGTTCAATGATCAAAACTGGTACAAATTTAAACTGATTTCAAGAAGCTGGATTCGGCAAACACTTAATAACACCTTTAGTGTAGAAAATCTCGAAAGAGTCTTATTACTTTAACTCGATTATGAATTATAATCAAATAAATCTAACCTTTTGGAAACAAGCCGTCACTATATTATCTGGAAAAAAATTCCTGCAAAACATAAAATCGTTAAAATATAGAAGAAATAATAAGTATAACTCGAAGGCGATTGACAATTCAAGTGTTGAACTAAAGAAAAAATGACCTTGTTTCGTACCTGATCATGTCGGCGAACATATCGCTGGTTTCAATATCCGTCTGTATGGAATCACTGTTCTGGGAACTAGGGATCTTCAAATCTTTTCCTTTAAAATATAAAAGAAAATGCTATAAATATTTGATGGTAAAAATACTCTGCGAATCGAAGATTTATTTTTTTAAAAAAAGTATCATAAACAAACAGAAAGATTAAAATTCTAAAATACTGCAATCCTTTTAATAAAGTTTAAAAAGAAATAAAAAGCAATATCAGATGAACGTGTAATTTGAAAGTTATGAAACACACGTGCAAATAATATCATGAAATATAAAGATAACGAAAGTAAACATGTTCAAAAATCCAAATAAGCAATACAAACTAAAAGCATAGCAATCAGAGGTTTGATCAGGTGCCAGAAGGAGTAAGATTCTCTGTCGTCCGGTCATATCGTCCGTTAGCCATTGTGTTGGTAGATCTGTAGTCGGTTCAGTATGGAAATAATGGCCTAACAAAATCTGTATCAAAAAAAAAACGTCTGCCTCATTTGATCTATTGACAGGTTGTATTTGCACACAAGGTCATTGCATGGACCGTAGAGTTTCCGAAATGTTGACGTTTAACGAGATTGTTGATCCCCTTTGAACATCAACATATTTATCAGTAGCCTGCTTTGGTTTAGTGGTCTTAAGCAGAACATGCTCTTGCATGTCAGAGGAAAGGATTTTCTGATCGAAATTCGTTGTCGTCGTTGTCGTAAACTTTTCACATTTTCATCTTCTTCTCAAGAATCACTGGGCCAATTTAGACCAAACTTGCTACAAATTATCCTTGGGTAAAGGGAATTTAAGTTCGTTCAAATCAATGGCCATGCCTTCATCCAAGGGAGGATAATTATGAATTCGTGAAAAATTAGTAGCATCATTTAAAAATCTTCTTCTCAAGAACCACTTTGCTTGAAAAAATGAAGCTTATATGGAAGCATCCTCAGGTAGTTTAGATTCAAGTTTGTTCAAATCATGACCCCAGGGATAGGGTGGGGCCACAATGGGCTATCAAAGTTATGCATAGGAATACATAGGAAAAAAATCTTTAAAAATCTTCTTCTTAGTTAAATTAAAATGGAAACATCATCAGGTAATGTAGATTCAAATTTATTCAAATCATGAGCCCAAGGAGAATAGAGGGACAATAACAGGGGATCATAGTTATACAAAGGAATACAAAGGATACATCAATAATTTTTTTCCTTAAGAACAGCAAAGCCATCATTTGTCATATTAATTTGAAATCATCCTTATGAAGTAAATACTCAAGTTAGTTCAAATCCCCCCCCCCCCAGCCCGAACCACTTTTCAAGACTGAACAGATTTCTGCATTTTCCTAGCCAGAGAGCTCGTGTGAGCGATGTGGCCCCTGGGCCTCTTGTTTAAAGAACATATAAAATTTTTCATTATTTCAATACCTGGCTGAATGCTCAAGAAGACAACTATTGCAATAATGGCTCCTATTGTGTTGGTAATGATGATGTAACCCATAGACAGGGCACTTATCCGCCCATTTGATTTTGGATCCATGGAAGCAGCTCCTTGGAATGTAATACAGATACATGTATAAAGAAAAAGTTTTAGATAGAGATCAGTGGAAGGTGCAAAATTTGATATTCTGTATGATTGTTTTTCTTATCTGTTATAATGGTTTGTTTCTTACCTGTTATGATAATTTATTTCTTACTTGTTATGATAGTTTGTTTCTTACTTGTTATGATAGTTTGTTTCTTACCTGTTATGATAGTTTGTTTCTCACTTGTTATGATAGTTTGTTTCTTACTTGTTATGATAGTTTGTTTCTTACCTGTTATGATAATTTGTTTCTTACTTGTTATGATAGTTTGTTTCTTATCTGTTATGATAATTTATTTCTTACCTGTTATGATAGTTTGTTTCTTACTTGTTATGATAGTTTGTTTCTTACTTGTTATGATAGTTTGTTTCTTACCTGTTATGATAGTTTGTTTCTTACCTGTTATGATAATTTGTTTCTTACTTGTTATGATAGTTTGTTTCTTACTTGTTATGATAGTTTGTTTCTTACCTGTTATGATAGTTTGTTTCTTACTCTTTATGATAGTTTGTTTCTTACCTGTTATGATAGTTTGTTTCTTACTTGTTATGATAGTTTGTTTCTTACCTGTTATGATAATTTCTTTCTTACTTGTTATGATAGTTTGTTTCTTACTTGTTATGATAGTTTGTTTCTTACCTGTTATGATAATTTCTTTCTTACTTTTTATGATAGTTTGTTTCTTACTTGTTATGATACTTTGTTTCTTACCTGTTATGATAGTTTGTTTCTTATTTGTTATGATAGTTTGTTTCTAACTTGTTATGATAGTTTGTTTCTTACTCTTTATGATAGTTTGTTTCTTACTTGTTATGATAGTTTGTTTCTTACCTGTTAAAATAATTTGTTTCTTACCTGTTATGATAATTTGTTTCTTACCTGTTTTGATAGTTTGTTTCTTACTTGTTATGATAGTTTGTTTCTTACTTGTTATGATAGTTTGTTTCTTACCTGTTATGATAATTTGTTTCTTACTTGTTATGAGAGTTTGTTTCTTACCTGTTATGATAGTTTGTTTCTTACTTGTTATGATAGTTTGTTTCTTACTTGTTATGATAGTTTGTTTCTTACTTGTTATGATAGTTTGTTTCTTACCTGTTATGATAGTTTGTTTCTTACTTGTTATGATAGTTTGTTTCTTACCTGTTATGATAGCTTGTTTCTTACTTGTTATGAAAGTTTGTTTCTTACCTGTTATGAGAGTTTGTTTCTTACTTGTTATGATAGTTTGTTTCTTACTTGTTATGATAGTTTGTTTCTTACCTGTTATGATAATTTGTTTCTTACTTGTTATGATAGTTTGTTTCTTACTTGTTATGATACTTTGTTTCTTACCTGTTATGATAGTTTGTTTCTTACTTGTTATGATAGTTTGTTTCTAACTTGTTATGATAGTTTGTTTCTTACTCTTTATGATAGTTTGTTTCTTACTTGTTATGATAGTTTGTTTCTCACCTGTTAAAATAATTTGTTTCTTACCTGTTATGATAATTTGTTTCTTACCTGTTAAAATAATTTGTTTCTTACCTGTTATGATAGTTTGTTTCTTACCTGTTTTGATAGTTTGTTTCTTACTTGTTATGATAGTTTGTTTCTTACTTGTTATGATAGTTTGTTTCTTACTTGTTATGATAGTTAGTTTCTTACTCTTTATGATAGTTTGTTTCTTACTTGTTATGATAGTTTGTTTCTTACTTGTTATGATAGTTTGTTTCTTACTTGTTATGATAGTTTGTTTCTTACCTGTTAAAATAATTTGTTTCTTACCTGTTATGATAATTTGTTTCTTACCTGTTAAAATAATTTGTTTCTTACCTGTTATGATAGTTTGTTTTTTACCTGATATGATAGTTTCTTACCTGTTATGATAGTTTCTTACCTGTTATGATAGTTGACACAACCAGAGGAAGAAGCATCATTTTCAGCATCCGCATATAAATTTCTCCTGGTATACCTTTGTAATAAAAAGCAGGTTCTAGTATGGCCAATGTGTTCTAACTCAATGTACTTTGCCGAGAATATTACCAGCAGAATTCTATGGTGCAGTAGTCATATTACTTACAACGCCAGTAGCTAATAAGAGGGGTATTTTTTTTCAATTCCTGAATCTAAACACTCGTTTTGTTAAAGAAATTACGATTGCTGTTATCCTTTAATTTCTTTGCATTGTGACCTTATATCACATCTGAATCTACTAAATTTGTTAGGAGATTATGCAGCAAATGCCTTGACATTTTGTAGGGTGGATTCAAAAAAAATTTACTGGGGTGTCGGGGTGGGGGGCTCTGCCATTGCTTTGAGTTTTACTTTAGCATGATAAACACTAAATTGAGGGGTAAACCGTACCAGTTTATAAAAACCCTACTGTGAAACAATAACTTACCAATCCAAGTGATAGCATTGTCTGAAGGTTCCACGACTCTCAGACCAAAACCAAAGATAAATCCTAAAGCCACCCCAATCAGCACGCTAATTATGAGACTGTTTCTTCTCAAAAAGGCACACTTAGAATGTTTTCTATTCATCTCACATCTAGGATTGCTTTTCTCATGAATGGTTTCTTCACTGAGAAGCAACTGCCCAGTCGTCTACCAAGTTGAAAAAAGGAAAATATATATGCATATATAAAATGTATATGTATTAAACAGCTGTTAATTGCTGCAGAATACTGTGAAAGGACTTAATTTTGTGGGGTTTAATTTTTGTTGTTTTCGTGGTAAGAACATGTCCTGGCATGAAATATTAAAATTTCGAACTACAGTATCATGTTTGTTCCTCAACTACGAAAATCCCCACAAACCAATATTTTTTTCGTCAAACCACGAAAACTTGACACCTCAAAAATAAGTGATTATACAGATATGCTCTTTGGCTCAAAGTATGTATTGATTTACCTCATTTCCTGATTCATTCTCTGATGCCTCTTGGTGGACAGGGTATTCGATAGTCCGAGAGATACTGGTACCAGGTCTCTACAATTAACATTTACAAATTAATTAGATATATATATATATATATATATATATATATATATATATATATATATATATATATATATATATATATATATATATATATATATATATATATATATATATATATATATATATATATATAGTAATTTCACATAAATCACATTTTGCATCACTGGACTTCCCTGTCCAATTTGCTTGACAATTATATGTTCGGTCATATTAGTCACGTAGATGACTCTTTACTATTGTTTTTGTCCGTGATCATGCTTGATGTCGGCAGTCGGTCCTAAACTTTTTGAAAATTTCGCTTATTTCTCAGAGGAAGGGTCGTACTTATCCAATTTAGGTATACACGAAGGCTGTTCGGAGAGTTCGCGGACTTTCGTCATAACTTTTTTTTACTTATTAATACGATATCCAAATTTGATAGACACGTTTAAGCAATAAATTCTAATGGTATGTATTTAAAGTATCAAATATATCGTGATATATTTCACACTTATTCAAAATTTAAAACTGCTAAAATGGGATCACGGAGCAGGTCAGAATTTAGTAATTCACAAAATATGCATTTCATAATGTCTGTAATCATATCCCTGTAAAATGGAGCAAAAATGAAAAAAAAACAGTCTAGACGTTCATAGTAAGATCATATGCCAAATTGTGGCTTAATAGTTTGGTTTGTTGAAAAGAAATCAATTTCAGAAGATAGCCTGTCCTTTTTGAAAAAAAAGATTACGTCATAGAACGTCACAGATCAGAGACTAGCAACATTTCGTGTTGCACCCAGAAAAACTTAAGGACAAAAAAAAAAAAAAAAAGAAAAGAAAAAAAGAGAAAAGAAAAAAATCTGAAAATGAAAAATCGGTTCAAAAGAATTTATAACGTCATTGCATGGCCGTAGGAACCGGAGGGGGGGGGGGCACGGTGCCTGCATTGAATGAGAGATGGACGCTTCACTGTTGTGGATCTGATAAAAGCAAAATTACACGGTTAAAAAAATGAAAATACTAACAAACTTATGCTACTAAACCATTGTAAGAAAGCTGAATGCAGAGTGATATAGAATTGGTATGGCGCCAGACCATGGGTAAAGCGGAAGTCTTTTTGAGAAACTCCTTGTGTTTTTGACGTTACTGTGCTGTCAAGTGTGCTTCGTGGTAACAAACCACTGCCCCCCCCCCCCCAACTTTTTTCCAAACATAACTTTTTGAAAATGTCCTTTGACCCCCTCTCCCCAACTATTTGAATTAAGGTTTTTTTTTATTGCTTTTTTGTTTTTTTAATCAAATATCGATTTTTGATCTAGCCCCTTAGGAGTGTGGCCAAAACCATCATAATAATGCACTCAAAATTACTAAAAAAAAAAGAAAGATCTAATATGCAATGGGTCCTTCACTAAATCGTAAAATTCATTACCCCTTTGTTCAGGCCCCGTGATTAATTGGGCGAAGGTGTTCATATATTGAAACAAGTATTACATGTATATCGTAGAATGTGTTCTTTATTCCTGAACATCAAGAAGGCAAAATGTTTGCATGGATAAATGAGCATTTAGCCCTCTACCAAAATAGTGAAAATCATGACCTCAGGGATAACTTGGTCATATGTTAAAGATGCAATAGAAAATATTTTTAATGTCGGACACAAGCAGTCAATCTAATTGTTTGATGACCCAGGGTTTGGTAAAGTCGGTCACACACTGAAACTACATTAAACCTAGTGAGTTTTATCCAGAACAAGGTTTGTCTGATTGTAATGCGCAGTTTGCCAATTCACGAAATTAATGCTCACTGGGCAAAAAGATAGTGATAATTTGATCACATTTTGAAAATATATTACATCCTTGAAATTCTTTTTTTAAACATTGACATCTAGAAGGCAAACCGTGGGCATGAAAATATTCAGCAACAAGCAAGATTTTCAAATTCGTGCCCCTGGGGTCCATAAATTAGGCACTATAAAACTTTCAAATGATCACATCAACAGACAAGACTGTACAACATGTACATTTTTTGTCTTAAACTCTGATTTAAGGAACTGATGCCCGCTTCATGATATTAAATATATTTAGCAAAACAAATATACACACATACTTACCATGATCTTATTTGTCCCTTGTCTTGACATGTTGGTTTTTAAAATTTAATGTTAACGCCAAACTTTTGATTTACGCTTCCTTTAATACTGGCCTATTTAAAATAAAATGAAAGTTCTGTCTTAAAGGGTTTTATTACCTTTCAAAATATTCATACATCACAAAGATTACTTTACCTGCTGTTAAAAAATCATCCATTTAAATTTTTTAAAATAAAATAAATATATTTTTGTTATTTCAGCGAGTTAAACATTAAATCTCGCAATATGCAAATTTTAATCGGCGATTTTGCGCGCCATTGCTCTGATATCATGGGTGTGTGGTCAAGCGAGAGGGCGAGAATGCATTTGTTTCAATTATTGCGTTTACTAGACCCTCACCAAACTGGTGATAATATTGACAGTTGGCATGGTCACCAGGTGTAATGTGTTGCATTTGAATACACAAAAATGCACGAATTGAAAGAGGGATGGTGATTTTTCCCATATTCCAAAGGGACTCGTGGCGGAGGAAAATATGGACTATTTTTCGTAAACGTGAAAGGGCTTTAAGGAGGTTCTATCCTGAGCTGTTGGCCAGATTTGTGTCTGGACTTTATTTCTAAAATTCTGCATTATAATTTAGTTCTTACTTACAATAGATTTGGATTCTACAATACCAATCAACCTATATTCAGTTAAAAACCCATGATTTAATTCCACACAAAAAGCATTAAGTGAGGAATTATTTTATGCGACGGAAGGTTTTTTTTGGGAAGAAAATGATCAATTTTTCTCTTTCGAAATATTTACATTATTGTTCAGTTTGGATTTCTTTTTTAATGCAGGTTGCGCACAGAATTAGTGCAGTAAGATATGTTTTGCTGGTCCCTAATAATATATCAAATTATCTACTAGGATAATATAGTATAATAGTATAAATTCTATTATATTCTGACAAATATAGCATAAATATTGTGAAAGTCCAGAAAAAATAGCTCAATATTTTAGATTAAAATTAGCAAACTTTTTAGTAATATCTAAAATATTTACATCATAGACCCCACTTTTAAATTTGTTATCTGAATATATAAGTTAAATTTGATCATTCTGCTTAAATTCAGTAAAATCTTAAGACTTTGAAATTTCATTGCTTGTTAAATTTATGCTAGAAACATTTTGTGTGTGCAGAAAGGCCAATATATTGATTATGCAAAATAATTTGAAACTTTTTCTTAGTCACAATTTTAATGTGTCTACTCAAAATGAAATAAGACTGTATTTGGTCCCAAGATTTATTTGGATAAAAAAAGAAATATTGAAGGAAAAAACTGATTTGCAAGACGCAATTTCAGTGCAAAAGGTCATATTAAATGCATCATAGCGCCAAAAGAAACGCAATGGCTGCCTTTTTCTCGTTTGTTTTATTTTTAATAAAGCTATGTGTGTAGATATTAAAAATGTATAATTAACGAAAAAATTCTTAAGACTTTTGATAGCGGGATCTAACCTCCTTAAAGTCTCTGAATCATGGTTTGTGCTCTGGCCTTTTCTCCAAGCGTCAGACTCGGAGGAATCCTGCCCATTTGGAATATATCGGCTATGCCTGGGCTCAGATTGGTCGCTCTCCTCATCTTCAACGATAATACTGCATCCTTTCGCCAAACACTTTACCATAGACAAGTTTCAATATTCCAATTATCACAACGGTTCTGCCCGCCAAAACTCAAAGGGTCTTCATAGTCACTGACCGACAAATCATAAAATATATAGGAAGGAGGAACATAAAGACACGAACCACTTCTTCGATGTCTTGCATGTGTCAAAGGTAGTTATACAACATGAACATTTGCCAACAAATTTTTTATATGGTAGATTTTTTTATTATTCACGACTTGCGTGACCAGAATGAAAAGAATGTCTGACAAAATATAGCAAATAAAAGGTTTTCAAAGTCAAGCTATTCAAATATAACTAAAAAGAATGTGTGATATTTTCGTAACTAAAATATATTTGTCGTACTTTGGCATTTCTAGTAAAAGCCTTAATTTTACATTTAAATTGTTATTGGGTGGCAGCAATGGTGACCTAAAAATGCGGAAATAATTCTACCTTGTTAAACATGTTGCCAACCAGCATGATTTTGAACATGACTAGAAAAATGCTATTACTAATTAAATATTGAATAATATAGTAACATTAGTCGAACAATTTTGTAAATGTGAATAAGTTTGATTATGAAAATTTCAGCATGTAATTTTGAAAAAAAAAATTTGATACATCAAACTTACAGGACTGAGGACCCACAACTCTCAGGGATGTTGTGAAGAAATTATATTAGAAATGTAGCAAGCTGTCAACCCTCCACCATGACCATGAATACCACTGAATGCATTTACATGAAAATATGCTCCGTCTGTTGATCGAAAATCAATGTCAATAAAGATCTGAATATCATATTATATTGTATTATATTTAACTTAGGCTTTACTTTTATTTTTTTTCTTTTATACATAATCCAAAACTACATGTACATGTAAATGATACTTGTTCTTTGAAGCATGCATAGTATCACATGACCCTCTTCCTAATCAATAGAGATTTTAAATGCAAAGACCCTGAATTTCGAGATTTATATCTCCTGATTTCGACTGTACAAGACTTTAAAACGAACATAATATGTATGTAATCATGAGAAAATGCGTTAAATTAGAAAAAAAAAATTAAAACAGTTGTCTCTATATTCCATCATTGTTTCATCAAATTATACAGAATAAATTTTCAAACTTGGGAATTTTGAATGTCACATACATGTATATCCGCAAGAATGACCATTTTGTGCTACATCTTTTGTATTTGGTAAGAAGGTTCCTCTTTGATTCAGGATAAAAATATATTCATTATGTCACATCTGTGCAATTCCTGCTCATGACTTCTACTGAATATATCTTATATACCCTGGGACTCGATCTATACACCATTATAAAATATTATGCTTGAGAAAATTCCTATTTCAAGGCAGAATTTAAGGGTGACTACCCCCATAGTTGCATGATGCAAGGATTTAAAATTAAAAGAAAAATCTGTTATTATTCAGTTAGATGGAAAATGTTTAAAGACCATAAACGTCTTTTTCTTATACCCCTTTTTCCATTATAAATGAAAATGCTAAATTATTTTGTCTGTTTCAATTGGTTGAATACACAATGACTAAGCATGAAGATGCCACATTTGCAATTACTTTAAACACTAAACTAGATCAAATTTTAATTTTTCTCCATTGATTTATATACACACATAAACTGTTCATAAATGCATTTCAGTCTGTTACTCGGATGCAACATCGGTATCTCTCTTTCTGTCGAAGGTTTGTTAGTACATGTAGTAACATTGTCTGAAATACCGCCCCATTAATCGTTGTATATTTCCGATGTTAAATAACTTAAGATAAAAATTTTAATGTGCAAAACACTCAGAGCGCACATGAATAAATTTATATAAAGCCCATTTCTATCAAATGATTTAAATTTCCCTTTTGAGTTTAATATATTACTACATTAAGTCATTCAGAAGTCGTCTTTGCCTATAATGACAAACTATGGAGTGCATGACCAGTAGATATCTGAAATGTAAACTTTGTACATCTTTTTGGATGTTTATAATGATATATTTAAAATGAGAGAAGTTGAATATCAATATCATAAATCCCTTAAACAATACGAAGTTTATAATAGGAAAATATGGACCCGTGGAAACACAAATGAAGAAATCAGTTGCCATGAATGGGTAGGCATATCCGCCTTGCACCTCTAAAAATAGCATGAAAACTATGAAATACTAATTTGTTAAAATCTTCAGTCGACAATCAACCTCATGGCAGGTTGTTTTTGCAAACAAGCCCATTGTAACTACATGTACCATAGAATTTGCAACATTTTGATTTCAAAAGACATCGTTGATACCCATTTTGTCAGTAGCCTGCCTCAGCTTAAATTATGATTATGTTCAGAACATGCTCTTATATCATAGACACTATTCAGGTGATAATTGTATATTTATAAGATAAAAACAAAACTCGATTGATCGATTGATTGTATGTTGTTTTACGTCTCATTCGAGAATTTTTCACTCATATAAAGACGTCACCATATACCGGTGAAGGGCTTCAAATTTAGACCTTTACTCGGCACTTAGGGCCATTTAGCAGTGAGGTTTATTTTATTGTGCCAACGCCTACTGTGAGTACCAGAGCCTCGGTTTTTAAGGTCTCATCCGAAGGACTTACAACTTTCATTTCAAAGTGCCGTGCACTTGGCGAAGGAACAGTTGGTACCTATTTTTAATAATTTAAACTCAATTTTGCTGTGGAAATATTGAAAATGTTTAAAATTGGAATATAATTTGAATAAAGAATGTATGTATCTTTCTTTTATGTAATTTGTCAGTATTTTGGACTTCAAAATGTAGAATTAAAATCAAGTTCTTCTTGAATACAATTTCAATAATAAGCTTTACAAAGATTTTTTTGTAACATACTGGAACCAATACAAACTGATCATGTTATCTTATTCTTTTCTCACTTCTTTATAACAAAAGACATGATGGATGAAATGTATTTCCTATCTTATTTTAAAATACTAGATATTATTAGCCACCTCTACTTTCTATCCATTTCAAACAAGTGTCAAAGTCTTCATCTTTATATTTGCACCATTCTCGGGTATAATCGTCAGCAGAATTAATAAAAGTTCTAAAATTCTGTCTCAAATTAAAAGAATGGGGTTCCCTTATTTAAGGACACTTTAATATTTAAATTAAATGTACAAGGTACATGCATCTAATATAAACCTAATGGGGGTGGGAAAAAGGTCTGAATTACTGAATCAACTGAAGACTTTACCATTTTCATTCGAAAAGAAAACGACGTCATTACGCATAACACTAAATAAAATTGTTTTAGTACAATAGGATTTCTCGGCAGAAAACATGAAAGAATAACGCGGTTTTCAATATGTGTTTTTATGTTATGATCTTCAACATCATAACTGACTCTTGAATTAAAGAAACAATAATGTGAAATTCGTAGAATTTGATAAGAAATATTCATGCACAAATCTGAATAAATATTTCCCTTTACTTTACTTTATAATCCATACAGGGAAATTACTTTAACAACCTTATTCATTTAAAGAACACTATGCAATCGTGAAGAGATATCTTTCCTTTACATCTAACTGGAACCACGCAGTCTGTCCTCTTAATGTCTTTTCTATGATGCTTAACTACATTGCAAATGTGTGCTCTTTACGATAATACCATATTTACAAACTAAACTATCTCTAATAGCAAATACTTGATTTCTCGTGTATCATATTCTAACGAGTTTAAAATGTAGTACTTACATGCCTCTATCTTAGTCCTGGAATATTTTATAAACTTTATCTAAAAATATGAAATGTATTAGGCAAAACTATAATTGATGATGTTTTTATGTCCTTTAGCTTCAAATGCAAACTGAAAAGTGTTCACAAAATAAATAATATATAAAAAAAACTCTTGACAAACAGAATACAGGCATATACGTATCTTGAGAGATTGTTGGTTATAAATACCAGTTAAGTAATATAAAGAACTTCGGCTTTTATTTCTTCAACTATTTAAAATTATTTAATTTAATTCATTAAATTACTCATTTTAAAGTTCATATACTACATCATAAAAAAAACTTTTTGAGTTATATAAAATTAATTGTCCAATCAAATTACACTAGACTAAAGTGTGATATACTAGACTTCCGGATCAACAAAGTTAAAAAAATAGTTAATAGTAAGTGAAATACAGTTCAGTTCGACATATAAAACAGCTATTGAATCCCTCAAAAAGGAAAAGGACCAGGAAATAATTATATACGACCAGAGACATTGAGGGCTTGAAGACACAAACTATTGGAATATATGTATAGAATGTTAAATAAAATGTGACAAGCAGAGATAATCCCTAGAGGGAAGGCCTTATTGTCAAACTATCGAAGAAGGGAGAATATTAGTCAATGCAACAATTGGAAAGGCATCACACTGGTATATGAAGTCAGCAAGATACTAGTTGAGACATCTTTAAAAGAACAAAGGAGGCAATAGACAAAGATCTGAGATTCGAACAAGTCGGACTAAGATCAAACAGAAGCTACGCAGACCTAGGCCATTACATGTATTTAAACACTGAATTATCTACGATTTTTGAAATTCGAGACATATTAGTTGGATGATACAGGAAAAAGGATTGGGCTAAGGATAAATACCAAGAACACAAACTTAATGAAGGTTATGAGCAAGAAACGAGTTACTGTTACAATCGAAGAAGATATTGAAGAAATGATCAGTTTATTTATCTTTGTGGTACTGTGAACAAAACAAGGGACAAAGACATTAAAAGCAAAATAAACAATGGAATAGAGACTTTCAAAATTCTAAGACCAGCAGGAAATCAGCAGCATCATTAAAGAACACCAAAATTAGAATGTATAACACCCACGTGAAATCTGTTCTGTTTATGGTGCAGAAACCTGGAGATTAAAAAAGTTTAAGATAGAAGAATTAGAACTTCCCCAGCAAGTGC